AAAAAAAAAAAAAAAAAAGTTCAAAGATATCACTGCTGTCCCTCTTTAGATTCAGTAGTCCAGTAAGTCTTTGTGGCAACAAGAATTTTCTCAGCATTAAAGGGACCACTTTCATGATCAACTATCTTACTCTCCCATCTCATTCCATCTGTAATGCTCTTAACCTTCACCAGAACTTCCACCATATCCCGAAAAATCACCGTCCCTTCCGGCCGCAAGATTCTATCCATCTCGAGCAGAATGTAGTTGATGTCACACCTTCATACAAAATAAAAAAAAAAAAGTCGAATTTTACCTGTCCCGGTAAACATGGTAATAATTATTGTAACTCTGTTTCGTTTTGTGGTTATGCAACAAATATTTACCTGTCCCGGTACAGACTGAAGACCCCGCCAGCATGGATGAGATCGTAGGTCCGTGGATAAGTCGAAAAAGCCTCACACCAATCCATGTAAGTCCCTATAAAGCCTCGTTCGTATATCACCCCAAGAGTCTCGTGGGGCGACCCGGCTGGGACCACATTCATGACCCAAACAGGGTACTTCATCACGGCTGCCGCGAATCCTCCGAGATTCGCGTTCATGTCCATCACGTTACGGTACATCCCGCGTGACAGCTGGCTGACGAGCTTTTTGTAATACGAGACGCGCTCTTTCCATAGCTCGTTGTCCTCCTGGAAGTGCTTGGCCGTGACTCCTGTGACTAAGCCACTGCTGATCCTTGGCGGGACCGCGAAGGCCCGTTCGGGCCATTTCTTGAGTGGGCCCCCGGCTACTTCACTGGCGCTGTTCACCTCAGGGAGTGGTGTGATGCAGTTCTCCAAGTCCTTGTACCTTTTTTTTTTTCACAGGAACCGAAAAACAAAGAGTTGGATTTTTATTTTTATTTTTTTTATTCTGTGGATCATTTTTTGGCCACTTGAGGGTGAAAAGGATAATTTATTGCGCCATTGTTTGTTATCGTAATTTTAACATTTTCGCTTTATGACAGGATGAATTTTTGGAAAGTTTTCGGCATTTTCTATCGCAAAATGAATGAAATCGAAGGATTGAAATGCAATGCAACCCAACCTGCTTGCACTTAACAGGATGAAAGTTAGCATTTTTTCGACTCTCAATAAAATGCGGGGAAAAAGGTAAAAAAAGATCCATAAAAGTTTACCAAGCAGCATCGGCATTGTCCGATTTGCAGATGGGCGGCTCCGGATACGACGTTTTCGAGTCGAGGCACTCGACGTGGTTAATGGGTTTCTGCCAGATGGCGAGATCTCCTTTCTGGACAACTTTTTTCCAGCAGAGGCGTTTGGCCACATCCTCAATGGAATCTTGTTCCTGCTTCAAGTCTTCTTTTGTTCTCTCCCAACCTCTCCAATACTTCTGCCAGTGGATTGGAGGGCCCGAGAGTATCCAGTACCCGCCGGGCCTTAGGATACGGTCCACCTCAGCCAGGTACAGCCCACCTGCAAGCAATATCACGAAAAAATAAAAATGGCAAAAAAAGAAATGTCTATTTCATTACAAGATTTACTTTGTCTTTAATCTTTTTTTACCGTGATAGAACCATGGGATCAAGCAACGGGAGCAATGAGCCATGTCGAAGGCCCGGGCAGGATACGGAAGCCTTCGTGAACCCATGATGCCGATCATTGCAGGAACACCTCTTTCGAGTGCAAACCACACTTGTGCCTCATGCGTGTCTCTCGGTGCAAAAGACATGGCTATTATATCCCTCTTCAGTAGGTAAGCACCCCAACTAGCCACCTAATATATTGAAGCACCAAAACGTAAAACCCGAAGTTCAGCCCATTTACAAAGAGATGTCAAAGATTCAATTTTTATGCACCCTGCATTCCCTACCTCATAACAAGAGCATTTTTTTTGTTTCTTACAGAAAAAAATAAAATTGACAAGATTCATTTTTTGCTCACCCCACAGCCAGTATCGACTGCAGTCCGAATGCTCCCATCTGTCAGCGGAATAAGAGCACTGATATCGTCGATATACGAATCGGCCCCACGTGGGAACATAGTGCCCCCGCCCGGGAACCTGAACCGGTCCCCCTCGACCTGAATCCAGTTCTGAACAGCCTTCTCAATACTCAGCTCCTTGTGGGGTATGTTAGAGTACCACGCATAATCCCTGCTTTGGGGCCATTTAAAGGGACTCTTATAGTTCGGTGGCGCCGGGATGAGACACCTTAGCAGCTCGTCTTTCGTCGGGCAGTGCCTCTCCCTGTACTTGAGCATGTCCCGGTCGAACTTCCGGCCTCTTTGCTGGTCCTCGCAAGGGGTGTACTCCGTAAACTTGGGGTCGCACGGGGGGAACTTCTCGGTTGACTCGGAAGAGTTGACTTCCAGCTGGTGGTGGGTCTCGAAGTCCAGCTGGTCGGGGACCATTGATGAGGTGGACGACGAGGAAGAGGATCGTGGAAGATCGGTTTTGATGTTTTCGTTTTCGCAGTCGACTTTCGAGGAGAAGTCGGTTTGGGTCGACGGGCCGCCGGGGGATCGACCTTGCCAAGCACCTAAAATGTAGAAGACGATACAGAGGCCAGTCACGGCTAGGATGTACGTTAGACGCTTTCGCTTCATGTTGAGATGGTGGGGCTTGGGGGACCCGTTGTACTCCTTGGCCATTTTCAGACCTAAGAGAGTTCAGATGAAAGGTTAGATATTAGCAGTGATTTGATATCCACTTTTGTCAAAAGTCAAAACATTCTCAAATCTCAACAGACATGCCATTTATCATCAAACAGTTGTAAAAAGGCCAACTTTGTCATAACTAAAGCAAACATGAAAATCACAAAGGAAAGAGTCCCACAATGGACCTACCCGTTACCTTAGTCGCTCGAAGGTCGAAACCGCAGAGCTCGCTACGAACGAAGACAACTAACTAAGCTTTCGCTGCCTTTCAAGATCAGGGGAAAAAGAAAAAACCAAATCTTGATCTGCAAAAAAAAAA